TTATAGACTCTCAATTGAGAAAACGATTCCATTAAGATTGGCCTGTAGGCAGGTCTAGGGGAGGGTGTATTTTCTTAATTTGTGATTTATGTAGGTAGGCCCAGCCCATGGGGTGGTGCTGCCCTGGGGCAGGTGGTGCTGAGGTATATAAGAAGGCATGCAAAGCAAGCCGTGAGGACAAAGCCGACCAGCAGTGCTTCTCCATGCTTGTGCTTCAGCTCCCAACCCTAGGGTTCTGTCCTGCCGAGTTCCTCAGTGAGGACATCATGGAAGAAAAGCAAAGTAAAACCTTTCTTCCTCTAACTAAGACAGGGTCTAAGAGGTGAAATCGTTAAATTCCACCAACTCCTCCTTAACTTTTCTTTTCCTTCCTTCCTTCCTTCCTTCCTTCCTTCCTTCCTTCCTTCCTTCCTTCCTTCCTTCCTTCCTTCCTTCCTTCCTTCCTTCCTTCCTTCCTTCCTTCCTTTCTTAGATTTATTTATTATGTATGCAGTGTTCTGCCTGTGTATATCTCTACACACCAGAAGAGGGCACCAGATCTCAATATAGATGGTTGTGAGCTCAATATATGGTTGCTGGGCATTGAACTCAGGAGTTCTGAAAGAGCAGCTAGTGCTCTTAAACTCTGAGTCATCTTTCCAGCTCTTAACTTTTCTTTTTTTTTTCTTTTTTTGGTTTTTCAAGACAGGGTTTCTCTGTGGCTTTGGAGGCTCGTCCTGGAACTCACTTTGTAGACCAGGCTGGCCTCGAACTCACAGAGATCCACCTGCCTCTGCCTCCCGAGTGCTGGGATTAAAGGCGTGCGCCACTAACGCCTGGCCTTAACTTTTCTTTAAAAAAAATATTGTGCTGGAGAGATGACTCAGGGGTTAAGAGCACTGACTGCTCTTCCATAGGACCCAGGTTCAATTCCTGGCACCCACATGGTGGCTCACAACTGTCTGTAATTCCAGTTCAGGGGGACTTGACACCCGTGGCAAAACACCAATGTGCATGAAGTAAAAATAAATAAATTTAAAAAATTAATCAGGCGTTGGTGGCACACGTTTAATCCCAGCATTCAGGAGGCAGAAGCAGGCAGAGACCTCTGTGTTCAAGATCAGAGAATTCCAGTACAGCCAGGGTGGTTATACAGAGACACCGTCTCAGGAAAAAAGTAAGTGTGAGTGCACAACATAGCACGTATGGGGTCAGAGGGCATCTCGTGTGGAGTCTGTTCTCTCCTTGCCCTGTGTGGGTCCTGGGGGTCAAACTCAGGCCATTCCTTTACCTCGGAATTGCCAACTTCCTTATATTGCTGGCTCCTTCCTACCCACAAGGCCTCATGTGTTTATGCTCTCCACCTAGCCTCTGTGGTAAGAATGGCTCCACAGGCCTATATATTTGAATACTTAGTCCTCAGTTGATGGAGCAATTTGGGAAAGATTAAAAGTCTGGCTTTTTTCGAGGAGGAGTGTCACTGGGGACTGGATGTGGTTTCAGAGGACTCGGGCCACTCCTACTGTACTTTCCGTGACACCTAATTGGGGATCAAGATATGAGTTCTCAACTGTTCCCACATCCATGTTTTTGCTCCATCATCATGGACTCTCACCCTCTGAAGCAGCCCAGCCAATTGCTTTCTTTTGTAAGTTGCCTCCCTCTTGGTGCTTGTCAGAGAAAAAGTAAGGTGTGTGTAGAATACACATTTTCATGTACTTATGCCCGGGGACACATCTGGAGGCCAGAGGAGGGAACTGGCACTCTCCTCTGTCATTCTTCACTTTATTCCAACAAGGTCTTTCTCTGAACTAACGCTTGCTAGGTGGGCAGCCAGCAGGCCTCAGTCACCCTCCCCTCCACTTACCAGAGTTGGGGTTACAGGAAAGCGGGAGACTATGTCCAACTTGCTACTGGGTCCTGGGATCCAAACCCAGGTCCTCAAGCAAGGGCTCTTACCCACTGTGGTGTCTCAACAGCATCCATGAAAAAACACTGCTCTCCAGTGTTGGGGAAGTCCTGTGCATTTGTCAATAAAGCACTGTCTGGCCAATAGGGAATCTAGATAGGTGGGACTAGGAGTCCAGGAGAACTCTGGGAAGGAGGAACACAGGGCAGGATGTAACCGCCATGGGGTAGGGAAGCCCGGAACTATTCTCCAGTAAGAGAAATACTTAGATTAACAATTATGGGGTAATTACTTAAGTCCGAGCTAGCCAGTAAGAAACAAGCAAGGCCAACAGCTTCATAATTAATATAGCCTCCTGTGTGTTTATTTGGGACTGATGCGGCACTAGAACCAGGCTGGCAGGAAGGCTTCTCTCCAGGAAAAAGCTTCTCTTTACACTCCAGAACTCCGGAGATGCTGGGCACTCACAGCTGCATTTCTCCCCTATTGCAGCCTTTCAAATGCGGTCATAGGATACCGTCAGCTGTACTTTACAACTTTATTATTAAGAGTTTCAAGCATGCATACAATGAAATATGATACCCTCAGCTGTATTTTAAAACTTTATTTTTAAGAATTTCATACATTTGCCTGATGGTTATGGCACACACCTTTAATCCCAGCACTCAGGAGGCAGAGGCAGGCGGATCTCTGTGAGTTCGAGGCCAGCCTGGTCTAAAAAGTGAGTTCCAGGACAGCCTCCAAAGCTACACAGAGAAACATCTTGAAAACAAACAAACATACAAAACAAAACAAAAAAGAATTTCAGGCATGCATACAATGGCTCCTCCCTGCATACAATGGCTCCTCCATGCATACAATGGCTCCTCCAGGCGTACAATGGCTCCTCCGTGCATACAATGAAATCTGAACACGTTTCTACCTCCATTTCCCACCTGGACCTCCGCCGTGTCCCACGCCTTCCCAACCTCGCGTCTTTTTCTGTTTTGATAATTTAGTAAGCGCTGTCCATGTGTGCACGAGTGTGGGGCATCGTCTGGAGTATGGGAAACCTACCGGTAGCCATGTCCTCAAAAAAGAGTGATCCTACCCTGGCCTGCGCTGCCCTGCCCCTTCCTTTCTCACTGGACAGCAGTCCATGGAGAGAAGCATCACTGGTCAAGCGCTAACTCAGTGTCCAGCCCTAAACGGGGTACCTACATTAACCGCTCCAGCCACCCCGCAGAGACAGAGGTGGGAAGGGTCTGGAGAAGGGCTGTCAAGGGCGGTCTTCTGGACGTGACACGGGTAGGGCACGGACTCAAAGCAGCTGAGGTGACCTGCACAACACTTACACCAGATCAAGTCTGTCCAGACATCGATTCCCAGGCCCCAGCCCTGACTGCGGGCCTACTGGGAGAGGATAGTTACATTTTTTTTAAATCAGTGCCTCCGGTCCAGAGTTACTAAGGACTGCCCCGGGAGATGCTTCTATTCCAACGCCAAACCACATCTATGGATTTCCCCTTTACAACGAATTGGGATTCCTCGGAAGGCCCTGGAAATTGAGTAACATAGTGTCAGGCTAAACACAGGCATGAAGGGACAAGCTGGTGTCTTTGGGTGTTTTTCTTGAGTCTAAGGACTCCCAGGAGCTGGGCTGCTCGGAGAAGACCCGCAGGCGGCTCCTTCACCCACCCCGCAGCCTCTCAGTGCAGGAGTCCCGGGCGCAGGTGAGCCTCGGCTCCCGCGGGAGAGGACGCTGGCGTTCGGGGGACGCTGGAGCAGAAGGACGGAGAGCCTCTCCCACCGCCCTGCCCACCCGCAGCTCACGGAGTCTGCAGCCGGGGCTCCAGTGGCCGCACAAGAGGCTCCCGGGTCAGTGACCCGGACAACACCCTGACAGGACAGCAGTGCCAGGAAGAAACGCTCCACCCGCTGGTGCTCCGGACAGAACAGTTCCGACTGCGCGCATGGCCCTGACTGGCTAGTGTTGCTGACCCGAGTGACTGGACAAGTGACCAAGGATCAGGAGCCCAAATGACAGCTCCCTGCAGATTTTCTCAGAGAAGGCTTCCTGTGGCCTATGCAATAAGTGCATTTAACCAGAGCTAGCAGCCGGCTCTGCGGAGCCAGGCATCTGCTTTTCCAGCCCCGGAGAAAAAGAAGAGCCGTTTAGGCAGGTGGGATACACAGGAACAGGACCAACGAGGCGATGTTAAGCTTGAGTAGTTTGGGACGAGGCAGTTGACTTTATAGACTGGGCTTGTGTCAGTATTTCCTTTCACTCTGTTCGATTTCAGTCAAGAAAGGGAAGTAAGAGAATACGATTATTTAGTGCATAGAGGGACTGGAGGTATGTGCCGACAACATTCCACGAAGGAAAGGAAAACAGGGCTCTGGTGAAGCGGCTCCACAGCATGACAACTTAAATTAGGATCCCTGGCACTGACGTTAAAAGCATGGCGGCCGGTGACTACAATGCGAACTGAGAACGTGACGGTGTGGTGGGACACAGACGGGTGGATCCTCTGTGGGTTTGCTGTCCAGCCAGTCTAGCCCGATGGTGAGCTACTGGTGTAGAGACAGACCCCGACTCTAAATAAATAAATAGGATCGAGGGTAACAGAAAAAGATGTCCAGCAGGGGTAGTGGCACCCGTTTTCAGCCCAAGCATTAGGGAGGCAGAGGCAAGTGGGTCTTGGTGAGTAAGAGGCCAGCCTGGTGGTCTACAGGGCAAGCATCAGGAAGTCAAGTCAGGGGTACACAGACAGACCTTGTCTTGAAAAAAGAAAAACGACATTCTACCTGGCTTCCAAACAGACACACATGAACACATGCATCTACACACACACACACACACACACACACACACACACACACACACACACACACACACACACGGAGGGGATGGAGATGAAGGGGGGTGAGATAAATATTTGACTTAGCTCAGAAAACAAATAAGCTGTACCCAAAGTCTCAGGATAACTAAGCACTTAGAAGGCTGAGCACATTCCCCAACCCGAGAAGCAATACAACTAAAATAAAGCCCTAGAACAACCACTAGGAAGGTTGTAACTTACGGGCCATCACAGCTGTAAGGGAGGGCGCAGTAAAACACTGAACAAGGCCGACGTATTGGTGGATTTATTGCAAATATGGAACTGCAGGGTGACTATCTGTCGGGTGGTAGAGAATCATGGGAGCAGAGAGGATAGAGAAAATGCTGGGGAAAGTCTTGCTATAAAAAGTAGCTGTAGCTAGGCCATGATGGGGTACACCTTTAATCCCAGCACTCAGGAGGTAGAGACAAGTGGATCTTTGAGAGTTTGAGTCCAGTCTGGTCTACAGAGTGAGTTCCAAGCCAGCCTCCAAAGCCACAGAGAAACCCTGTCTCGAAAAACCAAGCAAGCATCGAACCAACCAACCAGCCAAAACAGACTGGGTGTGGGCAGAGAGGTGTGTGAAGTTAGGGGTGAGAAGAACTAGGAGGATACCCTGGCTGCAGGAAACCATTCAGCCAGCACCCTTGAGTTTAGCTTGAGCTGAACCCAGACTGTCATTTAGGACAAGTGGCACTGCCATTTTGGGAGGCTTGGGACCTTACAATGGCATTGTCCCTCCTTCCCAATGTGTCAATTTCTATCCTTCCTAAGAAAAGCCTCACTCACTACACATCATGGTTTCTCCCTAAGCAGGCTGTCAAATTCATAAACTCCAGGAGACTGCCTAGGGGACCTCCCTAAACCTCATTTTCAGTTTGTCTCCCCTCATTTCCTAAGATTGAATTCAGGTTCCTGATCATGCTAGTTAGGGACACCTCGGCTGAGCTATACACCCAGCCCACAGACTCCATTAATCTACTGACGGTAAAGAGTGACTCCAGCAATTCCACCAATTGCAAAACCTACAGGTGCTTCAGAAAAGTCGGCCTGTATTCAGGGTGACCGCCTCGGAGAAGACAAACTCAGATGTGGATCTGCTTTCTGGTGTTCTGTAGCTTTCACTGTTAGCATTTCTGAGTGTTCTGAGCAGCTGGAGGCCACGTGTAAGGGAGGACAGCTTTCTAGAAACCTCTAAAAGGAACTCCCATCGCTCTCCCTTTTAGTCTTTTCTTGGAGGGGGGACAGGGGTTGAGACAGGGTTTCTCTGTGGCTTTTGGAGGCTGTCCTGGAACTTGCTCTGTAGACCAGGCTGGTCTTGAACTCACAGAGATCTGCCTGCCTCTGCCTCCGGAGTGCTGGGACTAAAGGCGTGGCCACCACCGAATGGCTTCCCTTTCAGTCTTAATGTGAGCCCCAGCTTGGAATCTCTGGACTCAACTCTCTGCCTTCTATTCCAAGTTATGCTGCAAATGAGACACGGCAGTGAACACAACTGTATAGAGACTAGGGGATTACTGGATTTTCTTTCTGAATTTGAGAATAAATTGAGGTGCTGAGAAGTTGGGACTTCAGATGCGCTTTCCTGCTGTCTTTTTAAATTGTCATTGGGTACTAGTGACAGGTTTTCTGCATGCTATTAAAAAAATCAGCACCAGTTATTGTATATAACAGCAGAATGACATACACATGTATGTTTTAAGTCACAAATCACAGGAAACATAAACCTGACAGTACTGAAAAATAGAAACCTTAGGTTCCATACTCCCAATGGAAATGAGCTCACACAGCATAGGAAATAAACCAATTAGCATGGCATAAATCCTAAACCATCTACATATAAGACAGCAGTCATGTCACCAGGCAGGGCTGCCTGCAGTGACTCAGGGTTCATATCCATGTTTCTCACTGTTGACGCAGGGTTGAGGAGGTACTGAATCCAGAAATGTGATAAACAACGAGGACACCGTTATGTAGCCACAATTTTCCTCACAAGAGATAGACATTCCAGATCCCGTTACCTGTCATCATTCAAGTGCAATTAATACATGGTTAAAGGTGCCATTACTTGTTAGCACATGATAATAATATGACATTAAAGGAAAATACTGGCAAAGTCACATATTCTACCTAATAAATGATTATGGTAGGATACTTGCAGATATCTTCAGATTTGACAATCTGAAAATTGGCTAAAAGTAGTTGAGCACTCTAACGTGCAAAGTCTTCAAGAAAACATATGTCAGAGTACAAAACAAAATATATAGTGACATGAGATCTGAGAAGAAACCAACTGGACTGCATCGAAAGACCTAGTGCAAGTAGCACATCTACGCTTTGTCATTTCCAGAAGTGGTTAGGTCAACAGGGCTTCACCAAAGGGTTAAACCCGGCGTGTGCTCATGAACGTGCTGTTGGGCAGTGGTGAGATGCAGGACGAATGACTGGCAGAGTGTGTCCTTATGTCTTCTACTGGCCTCTTCTTTGAATACACTCTTCTTACTTTTGTGTGTACAATGATAAAAACTCCTGAACTTGGTGACTTCTCTGCCATGACAGACTGTGAGGCAAAGGGAAGAAATTCTCGCCCTTAAGTTGTTTCAAGTATTTGGCATTAATTAGCAATAAGAAAAAGTACAGAAAAGAATCAGTATAAACAAAGATAAGCCAGGCATGGTGGCTCACGCCTTTAATCCCAGCATTGGGTAGGCAGAGGCAGGTGGATCTGAGTTGTATGCCAGCCTGGTCTAAGGAGCTAGTCCCAGGACTGCCAGGGCTACAGAGAAAACTTGTTTGAAAAAACAAAACAGCCCCCCCAGCTCCTCCCAAAACCAACAAAGTACAAGACAAAAAACATCAAAGAAGCTGCCACATGATCTCAACAGAGAAATCCTAACAATGAAACTTCATTGTCAACAGCTCATTAATATTACTCCAAAAACATATTAGAAACACATTTGATTTACATATGGATCCACCATGAAAAGAAATATACCAACTTGACTATAAAAAAGACACTACCTTTGAAATTCATGCCTCACTCCTTAAAGAAACCTTAGAGATAAAGTCATCTGAAAATTTGTTTACAAGAGTAAAAATTAGAAGTAAACATCCCAGAGACTTATCTTCTGAATTATTGACCAATTAATGCAATATTCTTTCTCAAGCTCATTCACAGGAATGTTTAAAAAATTATGAATTCTCTTACTTAAGGAATTTTCACAAAACCTTGAAAATTGTTTTACAGTTATACAAGTTTTGATACTGAGTACATTCTCAGAGGTCGGTCAACTGACGAGATATCTGCACATTCATTTAAGGTTATTCACTATGGTATATAATATCATGTCTGTGAATACAACCAAGATGACTAAAGACATTCCTACAGACAACATGACACTGGTTCTCTGTTCTATGTATTGCTATGTTACGGATACTTTTTCGTGTTCTACACTTAGGAATTCCTTCTAGTGTGAGTCTTCTCATGTATTTTAAGGGAACTGGAACGAGTAAAGGCTTTCCCACATTGCTTGCAAATGTAAGGCTTCTCACCAGTGTGAATTTGTTCATGTCTCTGACAGTCACTTAAAGTATAAAAGGATTTCCCACACTGTTTACATACAAAAGGTTTCTCTCCACTGTGAATTCTTTCATGACGTCGAAGGGAACTGTGACCAGTAAAGGCTTTCATACATTGTTCACACTTATATGGTTTCTCTCCAGTGTGAATCCGTTCATGTATTCTAAACTTACTAAAAGAAATGAAGCCCTTCCCACACTGCTCACACACATAGGGCTTTTCGCCACTGTGAATCCTTTCATGATTTCGAAGGGCACTGGGATTAGTAAAGGCTTTCCCACAATTCTTACAGACATAGGGTTTCTCACCAGTGTGAATTTGTTCATGTCTCTGACAACCACTTAAAGAAGAGAAACCTTTTCCACAATGCTTACATACATAGGGTTTTTCTCCACTGTGAATTCTTTCATGTCGTCGAAGCGAACTATGATCAGTAAAGGCTTTCCCACATAGTTTACATACACAGAGTTTCTCTCCAGAATGAGTTGATTCATGCTTTCGAAAGTTACTGGAAGAAATAAAACCTTTCCCACATTGTTTACAAACATAAGGTTTCTCCCCACAGTGAATCCTTTCATGGCATCGAAGGGAGGTGTGGCGAGTGAAGGCTTTCCCACACTGCTTACATACGTAGGGTTTCTCCCCACTGTGAATCCTTTCATGGTATCGAAGGGAACTGTCAACACTAAAGACCTTCCCACACTGCCTACATTTATAGGGTTTCTCTCCAGTGTGAGTCCTTTCATGTATTCGAAGGGTACTGGAAGAATTGAAACCTTTTCCACACTGCAAACATACATGGGGTTTCTCACCACTGTGAATCCTCTCGTGATAGCGAAGAGAACTTAGAGTAGTAAAGGCTTTATCACACAGCTTACACACATAGGGCTTTTCTCCAGTGTGACATCGTTTATGTGTTTGAATGGAATTGTAATAACTGAAGGCTTTCCCACACTGCTTACAGACATAGGGTTTCTCTCCAGTGTGACATCGCTTATGAGTTTGGAAGGAATAGTAGTAAGTGAAAGCCTTCCCGCACTGTGTACACACATAAGGTTTTTCTCCAGTGTGAGTTCTTTCGTGGTCTTGAAAGTTGGTCAAATAACTGAAAGCCTTACCACATATATTACATCTGTATGGTTTCTCTCCAGTATGAGTACGTTCATGTCTTCGAATGTTACTCAGAAAAGAAAAGGATTTCCCACATTGTGTACACAAATAGGGTTTCTCTCCAGTGTGAGTTCTTTCATGTTCTTGAAAGTTAGCCAAACAAGTGAAAGTTTTATTACATATATTACATTTGTATGGTTTCTCTCCAGTGTGAGTTCGTTCATGTCTTCTAATGTTACTCAAAAAAGAAAAGGTTTTCCCGCATTGTTTACATATGAAGGGTTTCTTTCCAGCGTGGATCTTTTCAACATACTGAAGAAAATCGGGATAAGTAAAGGCATTATAATGCTGCTTATCCATACATATTTCTTCTCTAGCTTCATTATCCACACGTATTTGAATGTAACCATTACTTTTGAAGATTTTCTCACACTGGTTAAATTCACAGAATCTCTGTTCAGTGTCAGTGTCTTCATGCTTCAGAAAGCATTCTGGATAAATGAAGGCTTTCTCACATTTCCCAATCTTATAGAGGCTTTCTCCACCTAGCTCATATTGATGCAGTCTCTGTGTAGTCTGAAGAGGCACAGACACATTAAGAGAGGAATGACCGATGAGCATGTTGTCTTCATACACATGGCTTTCACAAATCACTGTTCTATGAGACATTTTCCTGTTCACAATGCTGTTTGGAATCTGTCTGGAGATTTCTTCACATTCACTACCTTTGTTATGCTCCAACAGTCTTTCTACAACTTCATTTCTATTAAAACAAAAAAAAAAGTTAACCAGTAAAGTTATAAATTTCCCTACCAGCACAATTCCTGAGAATTTATTTCTGAATATGATTGGAGGTTCTATAGGATGTAGAGAAAGGTAATATCAAGACACTGTATTCACATAGGGTTTCTTTTTGTGCTAACATTTATTTATTTACTATTTGTGTATACACATGCTATGGTGTACACATAGAAGTTAGAGGGCAGCTTGGAGATGATTCACTTCTACTATGTAGTTTTCAGGGATTGAACTCAGGTCATCAAGTTTGGTAGTGAATACCTTTATCTGATGAGTCATTTTCCTAGCCTAGTCATATGGAACTTTTAATACCTTCCACAGGTTAATTATTTTGGAAAAGATGAATGTCTAGGTCTTACTTAGTTTTGAGGTCAATCTCTTGCTACAATGCATGGGCTACCTTCAAAATCAACACTCCTTCAGATTCCTCATAGCTGGGAATGTGGGCATGAGTGATCACAGGTAAATGTACTGGATTATTCCTTATGCAAAATGCTTAAGCAAAAACTATTCTCTAATTTTTTGATATCTTAAAGCTTGTTTTCAGAGCAAACATAAAATTTCTTTATATTTTATGCATACTCAAAGCCCGAAGAAAGGAACACACATTGTTTTTCATTAACTTTGTTGGTTGGAAAAAAGTTTGTATATACAAAACGATTAGAAAGTATCACTTGCGTCATCATGGCAATAGTGCAAATATTTTCAATCCTATATGCACTTTTGGAGACAAATGCTTTAGATTACATCACCTTGAAGCTGGGCCTATTTGGATAGCTGTCTTGATTTTAAAAACTGACCATTTCCAGATTATGAGACATATTATCATGGGTTGGCAAAGTTACCTTTGATTTCTTCTAGAATATCTATGGTCATTGTCTATGTGCTGGTCTTCATGTGTTCTTCCTAGAATACAGATCCAGAGAAATCTGATTTACTTACGTAGTTATTGCAGAAATACCAGAGTCTATGTCAATTCATGGTATAACATGACATGCTTGATATAGTCATCAAATTTACCCTTTCCATATTCTAAATCATGGAGCAACATTTTTGAGCAAGACAGACTTATAATCTGACTGACTTAGTAAAAGTATGATCTCATACATACCTATAGCAGCTAGGTTCCTGAAGGTTTCCTCCATCACATCTCTGTGCAGCTTCTTTTGGGAAGGATCTAGTAAAGCCCACTCCTCCACAGTGAAGCTTACAGCCACATCTTCAAAGGTCACAGAGTCCTAAAATGGCCGAGATGTTTTGAGAAGAAAAGATAAGACACATACCACTGAAAATCTGTGAGTGTCCTCTAAATGTTTAACACATATCCTGATCATTACATTCTCATTTTACATCCTAACTGTGCTCTCTAACTAAGCATTCCCACATTAGCTTTGAGCTCTTGGTAAAGCACAGAACAGCAATAATGAAATACCAAGTATGATACTGGAACTTACAATTTTTACTGGTGTACAGGCCTTTATCATTTCCCCCACAATATGACTACAAGTGCAGATATGTGGTAACAACCAGCTGCTTTAAAATCACATATTTTAAGAATAAATTATGAGGGTGAGTGTCCTCATCCAATACTAGTTCCTATGACCATAATTAATGTTCTGCCTCATCGTAGACACACAATGAACCTAAGTGACAAGATTTAATTATATGATCCTTGCTATAAAAATAAACCTTTCAAAAAGTATAAGTTACTTTTCTCATTATTGTGACTAAATAACTATTCATGAAAGATTTACTTTGAATCATGTCTTGAGAGGGTAGAGTCTGTTGTGGGGGGCAGGCATGGCAGAATTCATGGGGGATAGGATCATGTAGCAGAGACTCTTCATCAGTTATGATCAGGAAACAGAACAGGGAATGCTGGTTTCTACTTGGATTTTTTCCTTTTTCCTCTTTTATTCAGTTTGGCATCTTAGCCTGTGGTTATGTGTAATGGTTAGTGATGAGTAACTAGGCAGATGGGCATTTGGGTACACCTGTAGGGATTTATCTTGATTATGCTAACTGATGTTAAGACAATACATTTTAATTGTAGGTGAGAATATCCCTGGCCAAGGGATTCTGGACTGTATAAAATGAAGAAAGTGAGCTGAACACTAGCATGCATTCATTACTTTCTTCTTCCGACTTCAGATATAATGTGATCAGCTGCTTCAAGTTCCTGCTCCTCTGACTTTCCCATCAGGGTGAATTACATCTTGAACTGTGAGTTAAACCCTTCCTTTCTTAAATTGCATTCACCAGGGTACTCTACCATAACAACACAAAAAGAAAATAAGACAGGTACACAGATTTAGAGTGGGTATTCCCTTCTCAGTTACCCTTCTGCAAACACTCTCATAGACCCAGAGGTGTGTCTAACAGGTGATTCCAAATGATGTCAACTTAACAAGAAGACTATCACAAAAACCTTCAGTTGCTTTTGTTAGATATATTGGATAGGAATGCAAAGCTAATTAATATACCCCATTATTCAAGATAACATTAACAAACTGACTAAGAATGGATTATCAGTGCCTAGTCCAATCATCGTCAGGCTTTCTCTGGCAGCTGACAGGAACAGATTCAGAGACCTACAGTCAAACATTAGATGGGAATTGGGTAACCCATGGAAGAGGGGGAGGAAAGACTGTAGAAACCAGAGGGGTCAATGACACCAGGGCAACATGACCCACAGAATCAACTAAGCAGATCTCAAAGGTTTAAGTGGCAATCACAGGGCATGCATGGGTCTGTGCTAGGTCCTCTGCATGTATGTTATGGTTGTGAGCGTGGTGTTTTTGTGGGACTCATAACAGTCGGAGCAGGTGTATCTCTGACTCTTTTGCTTGCTCTTGGGACTCCTTTTCTCCTACTGGGTTGCCTCACCTAGTCTTGATATGAGGGTTTGTGCCTAGTATTATTGCATCTTGTCATGTTTGGCTGATATCCCTAGGAGGCCTGTTCTTTTCTGAAGGGGAATGGAGGAGGAATGGATGGGGGAGGGGAAGGGAGTAACTGTAATAGGGATATCTTATATGAAGGAAGAATTAAAAAAGGGATAGTGGAAGGGTCTAGGCAATGGCTCAGTATATAAAGCACTTGCTGTGCAAGCCTGAGTTTGAACTCCCAGAACTCAAGTAAAGCCAGACATGGTAAGGCATATTTATAATTTCAAATGCAGAATCCTATTAAAAAAATAAGTTAAATATTTTCTTACTGGAAACAGGAAGAATCAAGGCATAGTTACAATAAAATCAAAGCAAAAAACCAACATCCAGCAGTAGCAGTGTAAATCAAATCTTCTAGTTCAGTGTCAAAGGTCTAGGAACTCCTGTAGCATGATGTATGTAAAGACAGGAGAAGCCAGGAAGCTGGGTGGTGAGCCAGGTAGCCTGGCATATGCAACAAAGATTGTCATGTGACTTCAAACAAAAATTTATGTGTAAGAGTGCAACACACACACACACACACACACACACACACACACACACACACACACAGAAATGGATCATGGAAAAAAGTAACATTATTTAACCTACCCAAATGAAAACAAAAAGTTGGTTTATCACATAGTAGACATTTTACAACAAAGTCATAAACCACAATCTCTTTAATATAGAACAAAGGAAAAATAATACTTGGGAAACATACATTGTATTTCCCCTTCCTATCAGTGGATATCAAGCTATCCATTGAAACAGGAAAAAAAACTTCAATATTTTAAGATCACAGTCAAGTTTTGAATTTAAAACAATAAGAAATGGATGGAGACATTTAAACCTATGAATATTGGGTTAGGCTTTAAGATAGTAGGACAGGGATAACCAGTCCTAGTTTGATTCTGTACAGGACGAAGACAAGGCGACAGTTGAAACTGAGCTGCTGTGGGAGACAGCCCAGAAAAAGCAACCTTGGTGAATTTAACAGATTAGGGAGAAAAACAAAGCCGGAGAGGTGAAAGAGAATACAGTCTGGTGAAGAAAGCCATAGACCTGTGAAGAGCACAAATAGGTGACTGACAGGGAACAATTAACCAAAATGACATCCACAACACCACTTCCAGGGTGCCTACAATTTCAGAGAATGCCCTCTTCTGACCTCCACAGGCACCACCAGACAAGCATGTGGTGTATGTACACACACACACACACACACACACACACAGGCAAGATACTCACACATATATAACAAATATATTTTAAAAAGCATACTACTGGAACTAAAGATAGACTAACACTAATCTAATACTATTAGGTGATTTTAATACCCTGTTGTTTCCAATAGACAGGCCATTTGGACAAGAGATAGAAAAACATCAGAATTAAGTGTTAAAAGTCACAAATCAAGTCAATATAACAGTTATCTATAGAATATTCTGCCCAAATATATATTCTACTCAGCAGCCCATGGAAGCTTCTCCAAAATAGATTAATCCTGGTGCACAAAATCAATCTTAACAAAATCTGAAAGACTGAAATAAGTCCATGTATCCTACCTGACTACAATGCAATAAAACTTAAAATCAACAGTAAACAAATCTTTAGTAAGTGCATAAACTCAAAGAGATTAAACAACTTATTATTGAAGGAAGAATGGGCTAAAGAGGAAATCAAGAAAGAAATCAAAATTCCTGGAACTAAATCAAAATGAAAACACAAAACCTTTGGGACACATAAAAAAACCAAAGTAAAACATAACACAACAGTCTTGTGAAGGGAGTTTATAACTTCAAGTGCTATAAACTTCCTGGTGAAAAAACCAGGAAGCCTGTCTCCCTTACAGTTCACAAAGGAACCAAAATTCAGGTTAAAACTGTCTCTGAGCTTCGAGACCATCTCACCACACAGGCACAGCTGATGATATATCACTCCAGAAACGGAGCAGAGGAACTCTAAGTGGCCAAGAAATTTCATTTGGGGATCTCCACATTCATTATTTTCCTTCCTTCCATTTCTCGTTTGGCAAACAGCACGAGCTACAGGCTGTCCATCTCACAATGCCTTCTCTCTCGAGGAACATCCCCGTTCTTAGATGACGACATTTAAAATATCTATCCATTTTTTAACCTATTACTCAGCAGGATACAAACCAGCCAGAGACCCTCAAAACAACAACCTCATGAGTAATAACAAAATACTTAGGTAATGTTTCCTTAAGTTTCTCTCGTTTTTTTTTCTCTCCCAATTTTGTCACTTTTCATTTTTATTCACCCTCATCCTGAGCCAGAACAGGACAGTCTGACCTTAGAGGAAACTATTCCAGAGCTGAAGTTGCTACAGCTCCATCTTCTAAAAAATTGTCGCCCGTCCCTAAAAATCAAAACTCTTTTCTGCCCAACCCTAGAGATGCTTGCACATATTATAACTGAGGCTTCTCCGCTATCGCCAACACTCGCTTGAAATAAAAGTCACGCCCCACCTCGTCTCTCCTCCTACTTTAAGTCAACGTCCACAAGCGGCTCCAGGACGAAAACTACTTCACCGAGGGGGTCAGGCATCGATTCCCCTCTTCCCCTCCGGCCCCAACTACGTGTGCATGTAAACACCCACTTCTAGCGCGCTGGCCAAACAGCGAATACCTAAGAATCTGGGGGCGTTTAGCCCAAGAAGCACCTGGATCGGGACAAACTCACGGACTTCCGACGTTGCTGCAAAGACCTTGGAGACTCTCGGGACCCCGGCACCCGCGGGAGGCCACCCGGGAGCAGAGGGACCGAGGGCCCCGCCCTCCCGCCCGCCCTGCGCTCACCATGTCTGCTCCGGGCCCCCGGCGGCCCGGCAGCGGCTCGGGGCTCGCCCGTCAGCAGCCGTCGAGGCTCAGTCTCCCCGGGCTCCCGCGGCTGACGGACGCGGCGGAGAGGGACTTCCTCCCCGCTCGCCGTCGCGCCTGCCTGGGGCGGCCGACGCACGCATCGGGCACTAGGTCCGCACCCGCGCTTGCCCGGGGCCCTCAATCCCGGCCCTGCGCCCAGGTGTCACGCGGCCGCCGAGGGCGAGCCGTCCCCACTCCCGCTTCTGCGAGCGCGGGGCGGCGACGGGGGCGGCACCAGGGAGAAAGATGGCGGGTGAGGGACTTCCGCCCGCCCGCCCGCCGGCGCGCCCGCTCCCGCAGCTCGCGGGCCACCCCACGGCCTTCGCCATTGCTCCCGAGGTTGGCGGGCCCGCAGCTACAGAGGCTGGGCGACCCCCACTACCTCACTGGCCGCGACAACGCAATCCTGCGGCTGTCTCCCCGCAAGGAGCAAGGACGGCGGGTGAGGAACTTCCGCCCCGCCCCCGGCCATCCTGATTGGACGGCTCACACCGCCTTCCGCCTTTTGATTGGTGCTCACGCATTGAGTGACGGGAGGGCGATCCCGACCTCGTCCCTTTCCTGGTCGAAGACCAACCCAGCGTGGTGGGGAAGATGCCTTCCCAGCAGAATTTGCTCCTAGCTTCCCCGAGAGAAATTCGGCGTCTGTCTGTACTCAGAGCACCCTCTGGTTGCTGATTCCTGGAGATGAAGTCGTGAATGGGCACAGGAAGCCCCAGACCCAGTGTCCCATGGAGACTGCCCTTCACTTCAGAGAGCAAAGGGATTCTCGGGGAAGCTGGACGTGTTTACCGCCTGCCCGAGGGTTATGTTTTGTTTTGAGATCTCCATTCAGGTGTAGCCAGGAACTCACTCACTCACTCACTCACTCTCTCGTCTCTCCTCTCTCTCTCTCTTTGCTGTACAAAATAATTTTAGGGTGAGTCATAATGAAGCAAGACTGCGGTTTAAAAAGAGATTTTTAATGTAGATTAAACACTGGAGAGATGGTTCAGAGATTACGAAAACGGGCTGATCTTCCAGAGGACCCGGGTTCCAGCACCCAAGAGTGTGTCAATTTCAGTTCCAGGGGCCCTAACACCCTTTTGCGGCCTCAGTAACACCAGGCAGATATGTGGTGTACAGATGTACGTGCAGGTAAAACACCATAGCTATAAAATAAAAAACGTGGCTCCCCTGTTGTTAAAACGTTTAGGTTTATCCAGTAAGGAGACACAGACCGTGACTCAACGATCCCACGTGGAGTTTATTGGTGGACGGGGAGGGAAAAGGGGAGCAGAGAGAGAGAGAGTAAGAGCAAGAGCAAAAGAGTAAGAGAGAGGAAGAGGGGAAGAGGAGTAAGAGAGAGTAAACGGGCAGGGGTCAGTCCCTTAAAGGGGTCCTTTGCACCTGCCTGGTTCTCACGGAACTCTGGGCTGGCCAGAGTGTTGCCTGAGCGCATCCTGCCAGGTAACAGGGCAGGCCAGAGTAATGCCTGAACCTTTCATTCCCCCCCCCTTCCTGGGTTCTCTCTCAGTTTAGTTTCTGCTTCCATCCATTTACCGCAAATTTCAGTTTCATTTTCTTTACAGCTTAATAGAATTCCCATTGTGTTTTGTACACATTTTTGTTATCCACTCATCCGTTGAAAGACATTTGGTTGTTTGTATTTCCTACCTAATACGAATAAGGCAGCAATGAGCGCGGCTGAGCAAATCTGTAGGACAGTTTGTAGAGTCCTTTGGGTGTAAGCCAAGGAGTGGTGGGGCTGGGCCGCTTGTCTTCACAAGGTTTTGGTTTCTAGTATACTAAAATCAAATGTATTGAATGAGGTTGTCTTAACAGCAGTTTTCCCCCAGCCACATCCTCATTTCCACATGAAATGAGGAAATGGCCCGAACGGTTTAACTAGCATTGTTTTGAAAGACCCCGGCCCAGCCTACACAGGCAAGCTGAGGCTCATGGAAAATTCCGTTTCCCCCACAGCTCAGCTGAATAGTCATTTCTTTATCAGAAGGGAACTCTGCCCAGGGACACAGGTGTCTATAGCCAGCCCAGCAAGACTGGGCAAGCACAGAGACCTCCTATTGTTCCTCAGATAGGGCCAAGGCCGAGACTTGAGTTCTGAGAGAAACCTTAATTGCCCTCGTTCTGAGCCCTAGCCTCATTTAAATTGCCCAATCAAGGTCCTGTAACTAGGCTTCTTGCTTCTGTACTCCGCTTTTTGCTATAAAAGGACCCCTGAGTCCCCAGCTCGGGGCTCTCAGTCCCGAGACTGAGATGCCCCGGGTACCCGTGTATTATCAATAAAGCCTCTTGCTGTTGCATCCAAGCTCGTGGTCTCGGTGTTCCTTGGGTTCGGGTCTCCCTCCCGTGAAAGTCCCCCGTTTGGGGTCTTTCAGTTTCTTCTTGCACTCTGTGCTTGCTTGGGAGGATTTATAGACCATGATAACTTGAGGGTCCCTTCAAAAGCACTTCCAACTTGAGGGCCTGTGAAATAGTTTCTGTCCTACCTGTTTATCAAGCCCCCTTTCTATTATTTACTGAACACATATTAATCCTTTATGAGTCTATTGTAATTGACTCATACATTGTTATAACCTTAGCTCTAGAAGTAATTTGGAGAGAATGGAAGGGAGCATTCTTTCTCACAGACTGGATCCCAAGCTTTTCATACTCGATGGAAATGAATTCTCACTTTTCCACAAAGTTCTCAAAGACAATGTTTGACTTAGTTCCAACACCATTACATAGTAGAGGGAGAAAATAATAACTTGCACTCCATTTGGTCTATTCAGTGTTTTATAGCAGGTTTATGTTAAATAAACTGATGGATGATGGATAACAAGTAGGAGTGAACACGGATAGTCGGATTGATAATAGTCTTCACACAGCTCCACAAATTAAAGAGTGATTTCTCCATGGGAAGAAATAGTTCATTATAACCCTTTTTAAAACAACAGTACAGTGATGTTTTCAAGTTCAGTAGTAAGTTCACAAATGAATTAACTTTTAAAATAACCATCAGGATTCATGGATGTGTTTTATCTTTGAACTTATGAAGAGAATTTTTACCTGATGTTAGCAAAATAATGTGCCATTTTGGGAAAAAGATGCACACTAGCAGCCCCACACTAGATGGACTATGGAGAACACCTCCACAGCTACTGTGACCTTCCCACAGGTAGATGGGGAAGAAAGTCCCCAGACACTGCAGGACACCAGCTCGCATGGATCTAAGTGTTTAGAATACATACGTGTCTTTTCACACACCTGAAATCCTTCCTCAAGGAAAAGATTCCCAAGAGCCAGCCAAAGCTTCAGGGACAGCCCTTGCTGCCATTGTAAGGAGTTCCACAAATAGACTAAGCTACACAATTGTCACATATATGCAGAGCACTTAGGCTGGTCCCATGCAGTCTCCCTGGTTGTTGGTTCAGACTCTGTGAGTCCCCATGAGCTGGGTAGCTGTTTCTTTGAACTTTCTTGGGATGTTTTTGCCTTTTCTGACTCCCACAAGCTCTCTTCCCTTTCTTCAGCAGGATTCCACGAGCTCTGTCCAGAGCTTGGCTGTGGGTCTCTGCATCTGTTTCGGTCAGTTACTGGACAAAGGCTCTCTCATAACAATTGGAGTCACCACCAATCTGGAAGATTTATATTTCTTTATACAATACCACAGCAAGACAATGCAGAGTGTGTTTCTGTAACACTGATGCAGGGTGCTGATCCTCGCCTGATAGATTTCAGTGAAAATATATCCCTGCACCACGCTGTTTCTAGGGGTAACACAACAATTGCCAGAAAACTGCCTGAATACCATGCAGATATTGAAGCCAAAGCAGAGGTACAAATCATTCAACTTCATTACCATGCACTTCCAACAGTGACAGTTGGATACTCGGATTCGTTTTGTACATTCCAAAGCTCAAGCACTGCCACTGAATCTATTTACAGTAAAAAAATTTCTCCAAATGTGTTTTTCATATTTTTGATAGGTAGTATAAGAGAACACAGCACAGCATATGTTGCCTCAGAATTTGACCTTTATTTTAAAATTCAATGAATAAAGTATTTGGGCCCACACACACTTCACATATACACAAATAATAACAATTAATTTTAAGGTAAATGTTTTTTAGAATAAACAGAACTTGGTTGCACTTAAGAAGTCGTGGATGTTGTCAGAGATGAAGCTGGAAAGGAAAACAAGAAAGGTCACAGGGGTGCTAGCAAATTTGGAAATTTGATCATTGAAGAAAACATACAATGGAGACTTTTTAAAAAATTTAACTTTTCTCAAATTTTCTGTGTACATAGTGGCAGGAGCCATGTGACTTCTTTGGGAAACAAGGCCTGAGACTGGCACAAATGACTCTCCTTGAGGCAAGACCCTGGAGAGCCTGGAGAGAGAGCCTGGAGAGAGAGCCTGGAGAGAGAGCCTGGAGAGAGAGCCTGGAGAGAGAGCCTGGAGAGAGAGCCTGGAGAGCCTGGAGAGAGAGCCTGGAGAGAGAGCCTGGAGAGAGAGCCTGGAGAGCCTGGAGAGAGAGCCTGGAGAGAGAGTCTGGAGAGAGAGCCTGGAGAGCCTGGAGAGAGAGTCTGGAGAGAGAGCCTGGAGAGCCTGGAGAGCCCGACCCACTTGGCGAGAACCGTGGACACATGCTTCTGGGTGTGACTCCGGGAGCGTGTGTGCTACATGCTCTCCTTGCTTATACTATGCTGGCCACACTGCTGGCCTGACTGAGTCACAGTAGGCCATGAAGATTAGGGATACATATTTGCATAACTGTTCTGGAAATAATGTTTTTAACCACAAGAGTCTTTGAGATATGTTATTAAATAGATGGAATCAAGAATTAATGGGAACAGTCTAGAGATAGGGAATGAAGCAGAATCATAGAAATCTACAGTGTCCTCATTTCTAATACCATGCCAATATCCTAACAGGTTAAGAGAGACAGACATAAGGACAAGGGATAAATATCTCACTATTAAGAGTCAGTTTCCAAGTAATGTTGCCTATAGGATAAATGGAAAAACCTGGTATATCCCCAGAGGAGGGAGAGTAGAATAGAATGTAGAACGGATTGATTCAGTTTCGGCTGGTGAGTTGATTGTGAGAACTCAGGCACTATCGGATGTAAATATTAACCAGAAGAGACAAAGCTGTCTCTCACCCTGCATGATGCTGTAACCTCGTATGCTGCCAATACGCACACTGTTCTACCTCTGTGTGTGCCTAGTTAGACAAGTTCCTTTGTAGCTTGCAAAACTGCTTATGCTTCTAACAGAGTTATAGATTATGTTATATATTATACAGGTAATGATTACCAGTGGGAAGCAGGAGGGGTAGGAGACAAGGAACAAATTGGTAATTATTGTAACCATTTTTAGAAACATAGGAAGCAAGACTGGTTGTAAAACTGTTCATTTAAACCATTGAAACTGTATA